TAACTAAAATTGGAAAACTAAAACCCCCCAGGCTCTAAAAATACAAGGCACAGCAACACTAAAAATTCCACAGACTGCCAATCTCCAATATAAACATCCCTGGGCGAATCTGAAAGTTATTACCTGATCCTGCGTCATTGGAACAGATAATTTCTGGTCTAGGATTAGCCATTATGGCTGCTACTACAGTGGGAAAACACACAGGAGTCAGTTATCCTCCTCACCTTCTGTCCCCTCCTCTTAGCAAGCTTCCCCACTGTGGAGAGCATGTGTAGGGCAGGAGAGGTCAGGCTGAGTAACTGCACGGGTAAGTCTGTCCAGTGGGAGTCAGGCAAGTGCCCCTTCTTCATCCATAGGTCTCGGATCTACCGCTGCTCAGGTTGGTTAACTCCCACCTAAATATATCTGCCCCTCAGTCATAGATATTTTTCCCCCCATCCTTCTTAGTGGAGCAGCAAATGGAGCCTCCAGGCTCAGCAGAGCAAGTCCTGAGCTGCTGGAAGAAGGGAGCTGTCTCCTTTCAGTGTGTTCTCCTCTTCCTCCTTGCTTCCATCAAAGCAGCCAGGGAAAATGAAGTGCTATATCCCTTCAATGCTGGCCTGAGGTTTCCAGATCTGGAGCAGGGCCCTGAAGCTCCAGGGGGTTTGTCTCAGCAGCCTCCTGCAGCTCCTACCCCCTCCCTTGCACAGTTGTCATGGTGGGGCTCAGCTCTAGTCTTGATCAGCCAATATCAACAATTTTCATCACGTTAACTTGCCCTTTGGTTGTGCTCACCCACACCAGGGCCTCTCCCTGCCAGGACACAGCAGTACCCCCTGCAATGCACCAGACCCTGGAAGATTGGGTTCAAAGAGTCTCTGTTGTCTGTTACAAACCATAACCACACTTTGAGCAGCCAAAGCAAGCAGCTGAGCCCCCACACTGTGCTCAGGCACCTCAGAGCTTTGTCTTTTTTTTTTTATTCAAGAGTAAACAAACTGAGCTGCCAGCGTATGAGACCATGTCTGCCAAACTGATGAATCCTGCTCCAAGGGCAGTGGGAGAAGTTACTGCTTGTACAGAAATTGGTGGCACCAGGAAACAACTGCTGGTGATTTTAGGCTCTGCTGGAACGGCAGGTGAAGGTTATAGTCATTCCTAGCCAAACCTGTGAATTAGTGGCTGTTCTCCAGGTCCAAACTTCAGGCCATAATTCTGGCTGGCACAGCAAAGTGCAAAGTTGACAAGATGACAAAGTAACTGAAAACAGTCAAGTGCAAAGTTGGCTCAGCGGTGTCCTCCACACCCAGACCTTGCAACAGCGTCCAACTCCTCCCTGGAAACCCAGCCCGTGTCTGGATGTGTCTGTCAGGTCTCCAGCACCCCAACTGGCCGCTTCAGCTCAGTGTAGCTCTTCTCCTCCACGTGGTTCGTCTGTTCCAGGAGCCATCGTCTCTCCTGGTCACTGATATCCAGCTTCAGCGTCACCTCCTGGAAGAAGCTGTTCACAGCAACCTGCATCACACAGAGGGAAAGCAGCTCAGCACCAGTCATGGGGGAAACATGTTCTCTGGGTAGAAGATGAGCTGTTACTGCACCTCCTTAAAGTGAAGCTTTTTGAACATGCAGATACTGGCTTCGTTTTCCTGACCAATCTTAGCCTCAAATTTGGTGATCCCCAGGCTTCTCACTCCTGCAAAAGAAATCAGAGAAGCATTTCTATTACTAGTTTGGCTTCTATAAAAGCAGAGGACTCCAGTCTTGGGGCAGATGCATCCCTTACTACCCTGTCTGAATCACTGGGAGTATGCGCTTCTGGATCACAGGATCTATGCATTCCTGTTCCTGTGCACTGAGCCACCCTTACCATAGGCCATCATCAGCAGAGTTGCCTCCTTGCCAAACCCTCTGCCTCGGTAGCATGGCTCTGAAAGAGACAGTCACAGAGTCAGCATCCACTTATGGGAGACAAATCAGCCACACCAGACACTTTTCAGAGGAGACTGTGACCTGGACAAACAAAGGTCTCATCAGGGCTGAACAGCCACGGTAAAGCGCGAGAATAAAAAGCTGCTGTATGTAACACCTGTCTGCAGCTGGCTTTAGCCGTGGAAACAAAGCTATGAAGCAGAACTTGACCTGCAATCATAATTTCAACCTCTCCCAGGGTCGGATCCTCGGTGTTGGTGAGGAAGAGGTTCACGTCCCCCACCATGCAGGACTCCTCCTCCGCCTGCCCCGGCCACCGCGCCGCGTCCAGCACGATGAAGGTGCACTCTGGGGAAGACAAGAGAGAGGCAGCATTCTCAGGGCATGCTGAGCGTTACCCCCAAATTAATGAAGAATGAAACTAAATGCAGGTAATGGTCAGAAGAACAACAGTTTCCACACATTAACAGCGAGGAAGAGCTAATAATTGGTTTTCCCACACCAAGTGTGCCTGCTCCCAACCATAGAAATGTAAGAAATATTTGGAAAAACCCGTTGCGAGGGTGACAAAGACACCGAGACTAGAAGCGGCATGTTTTAAGGAGCGTGAAAACGTCCATCCCATGTCTGAGGTCTCCTTGCCTTGCCTTACTCAGCAGCAAGTTTGGGCAAAGAATTGTTTGGTGCACAAGAGGCTGAGACCTAGTGATTCATCTGGTCCATGTTATTACTGCTTTGAGTAAGGCTTTTAATGCTTTGAGTAAGACAAATACTCTGGATTGGGGTCTTTGCCAGCTTCAGTATTTTCCAGCTCACTATATTTCTACCAGGCTTTTATGGGCAGGGATTAGTTACCTGTAGGAGAGCCAGGGAACCAATTCAATTGCTTCAAACAGATGATTATAAAAATCATTGGATTTCTCAAGGAAAAATACAACCTCTTTCCACTTTTTTATAATGATCAGACCTGGGGAGTGCTGGCTGTGCAGGATCAGCTCAGCACATAATGCTGTGGGAAGTAATTCACTGTAATCTTTAAAAAAACTGCACAAAAAGGGCACCAACAGCCCTGGACATTCCCTAGTTCCCTGACATGGTTTATATATAACAGAAAGCCAGTTCAAAGCTGCTGTTGTAGAGGGTCTCACATCCCCTCTGGTTCGGGGGAGACTCCCAGCTCACTGTGGGTCCTTCCCAGGATGGAAAGGACCTGCTCACCATTCCCACCCTCCCTTAGAGAACATTTCAGGTGCTCACTGTCGGCATCCTCCCTCCAGCTGCGCTGCATCTCGTACTCCTGCTCCAGGCTGAGGGGCTCCGAGGCTGTCAGGCGCTGCAGCTCCTCCGACTGCATCCACTCGTGGTACCTGACAAGGGACCCAGAGCCACATCACTGCCCCAGCTGCAGCACTGCGGGTGGATCTCCACCAACAATTTGAGGATCAGGGCATAAACCAGCTCTGGAAACATCAGCCCAGCCTTTGTGGCAACTTAAAAGTGTCCACAACCTTCTCTCCCTTTTCTAACACAGGAATCAGAGCTCTCTGTGGAAATTCAGTGGCTTTGCCTGAAGAGTGCCCAATACAAACTGGGTGTTTTTGAGAGCATTGGGTCTGGTGCATTTCATCCCGAGTGAGATGATCCGGCACCTCCTGGACGCTGACAAAAACATCAATACTGGCATCTTTGAGGCTGCAGCTGTCCAGGCCAGCACTTCACAAACCTACACATCTAATGTATCAAACATCCACACATTTAAGTTTTGTGAGTTTTTTTTGCTCTTACACTGTCAGTAGGGAAAGGCATCAACGAACAGGAGAACCGCTGGTGTTCACTCACTCACAGGCAGGTATCTCCCCTTTTCCACGGGTATACCCAATGGCACAGATAAAAGTTCTCCCTTCCAGGAGAGCCGGCACAGAGCACAGCCGGGCACGGAGGGCGCACACACTGCCTTCCCGGGAGTGATTCCCAGGGGGAAGAGGCCCTGCCCTCTCTGACTACCACACTCGCTTCAGAGAGAGAAGTGAAATCAGACCGAGCAGGACACGAGCCACGTACCGGGGCACGTGTGCGGCGGTGTAGGGCACCAGCGCCACCTTCTTCCCTCGCAGCACCGTGTCCTGGTTAATCTTCATGGCCTCGGCACCAAGACAGAGCCCCAGCACCCCGCTCCGTTCTGCGGCGAGGCCGAGGGAGGGGGCAGCGCTGCCTGGAGCCTTTCGGGAGCGCAGGTCACGCCGATCCCCCACACCAGGATACCCGAGGGGACCCCGGGGGGGCTCCGGGACCGCGGGAACCGCCACCGGCCTGTCACGCGCACCTGCCACGCCGCCCTCCGAGCATGCGCAGAGCCAACACAAATTGTCTACGTCATCGCCCCGCCTCCGCATGACCCCGCCTCCATCATACCTCGCCCCGCCCCTCTCTGACTCCGCCCCCTCTTGGGCCAGCCTCTACCCCTACCCGGCCTCGCCCCTTCCCACGGCCCAATGGCTATCGGCGTGTTTACTCCGGCCCCGCCCCTGCCCCGTCCTGGACACGCCTCTGCTCTTTCCCGCCCCGCCCCTTTCCATCCTGGTCACGCCTCCTTTTAGGACCACGCCCAATCAGGCCCCGCCCCGTCACCTTCACAATCCCGCCCTTTTCTGGCCGCGCCCCCGCCTGGTCCCGCCCCTTCCCGCCACCCAATCGCAGTTCGGCGATTTCCTCTCCGCCCCGCCCCCGGCCCGCGAGCCGGTCACGTGCGCGGAAGGTTCCGGGCGTGCGCCGTGAGTGCCCCCCGCGCGGCGGGGGCGGGGCCGCCGGCACGAGCCGCCGCCGGTGAGGGAGCGGGGGCGACCCGGGGCGGGACCCGGGGGAAACGGGACTAGCGGGGCCCTCGAGGGGTCTGAGGGGCGTCCCGGGGAGAGACTGTGGGGGCGAGGGCTGGGGAGGGGCCCCGCGGGCGGGGAGAGGCCTGGGGAGGAGGGTCCCCTGTGGGGCGGGGGTGTAGCGGGCGGGGTGAGGAGGCCGCGGGCTGTGGGGGCTCTGTGGGGCGGGGGAGGTTCCCCCCGGGCAGGGCGGGTGGGCGAGCGACGTTCCGGCTGTAGGGCAGGGCCGGGGGGCTCTGGAGGCCTCGCGGGGTCCCGGGCCCTGGGGTCGGTCCACCCGGGCTGGGTGAGGGCCCTGCACGGGCTCCTGTCCCGGCCGTGCCCCGGGCTGTCTGTCAGTACACCCCTGCTCTTGCTGCTTGCTGCCTGTCTGCCAAGCTCGGCTGCTGCGTTTTGAGCCCAGGTCTGTCATAAAAGATGATGTTTGGCCTCTTCTCCTGAGGCTGGTCCAGTTATGACCATTCTGAGCTGTGCTGCCAGAGTGATTCTGTCATCCAGAGTGTGTGTGCCAGCTTACAACTGTTTGTTTTTTTAGTGGTGCTCTTACCTTGTGAAGCTCGTGCTGATGATTTGTCCCAGTTTGTGTGGCTGAGTAGGAGCACTTGTAGAAGTATAAAGCCCTTAAACAATTGTACTATGGCTAATTACTGACACTGAAACCTTTCAGGAGGCTTTGGTTCTCCCCTCCACCTTTTTTTTATATCAGAGTTTACTTTCCATAAAATAAAGAGACAATGTCTGCCTAAACTATAGATCTAAAAGTGCTAAAAACTGCTTAATGTCCCACACCAGCTCTTCCATCCTTTTAGCCGTTTTCCTTGTATTTCATTAATGTTTTCATCAACCCTAATTATCACATGAACCGGCATAAACTGGGGAAACTGTGACATTGAAACTATTCCACTTTCTTCTCTTTCCCCAAATACTTCTGCTTTGGAAACCTTGGCACATGAAAAACATCTTGGCATGTCTTTAATAGGTACCGTGTTTTAATTTGTCTGCTTATTACTGTACTTGATTTATGAGGAGAGACTGTAGGCTAGTTTTTGCTGTTTGATGTGCAGCAGGCACGTGCTTGAAAAGAGTAGTAGCTGCATGAGAAGCAGCAGTGTGAGCTCATCCTCAAGGCAGTCATTCTTCCTCTTGAGGTTTTAGTATATGAAAGAGCCCCTCTGGCTGTTTGGGGAAGGTGAAGTTTGGTCATCACGTGCTGTGAAAGGGCAGGGCCTTTTTGTTGCTTTTAAACTGGTTTAACAGGTATGAAAACTCACAGAGTGTTGGACCGAGTGGTGCTGGTGAGTGGGGTCTGTCCGAAGGGCAAGGTCCTGCTTAAGTCTCTTAAAGTGCCAGAAGACTGATGTACAAAAGCTGACTGGTGAGTTCCTCCTCTTTCCAGCAAAAATAACAAAATTTTCTGGTGTTTCCTCAGGTTAAAGGGAAGAGAAGTTGAAAACACCCTCCTGGCTGTGCTCTGGGCCTCCCCTCCGTCTCCATCATGGCAGGGGGCATCACTGACACTGGAGAGCTTTACTCTCCATATGTAAGTTCTGCTGCTTGTGGGTTTGCTCACAAGTTGTTCTTTTTTTCAAAATACTCTTCCCTCAGCGTTGTGTTTTCAGTTCCCACTTCCCCATGGGCGTAACCTCAGTGTTTCAGGAGATGATGGTGGTCAAAGGGTAGTTAAAAATGCTTAGTGTTTGTACTTAATGGAGGGGTTTTTTATATCAGAGATTACTGTAAATGAAATAAAGGGATGATGTCTGCCTAAAGTATAGATTAAAAAGTGCTTAATGTCCCACACCAACTCTTCTATCCTTTTACCCACTTTCCTTATATTTTATTACTGTTTTCCTCAATCCACAGTGTCATGTGAAGCAGCATAAACTGGAGGAACTGTGACATTGAAACTATGCCACTTTCTTCTCTTTTGTACTTTATATAAGCTTTCCCCTGAATTTCTCAAAGTTTACTTAATTGTAGCTGTTGCAGTAATTTGTTTTAAACCACTTCACTTGAAATTAGCAGTCAGGATATTTCTTTCCTGTAATGTGGTGGCTGGTGCAACTCCAGAGCCAATTACTGCTTTCCTATGTTACTGGAAATACTGGTTTTCATAGCCACAAGTCTTCATAAAATGTCAGCTTTTAAAAACAGAGTTTTGCAAACATGTTTTGGTTTTTTTTCTGAAGTGAACTCACTAGATACAGAATCAGCCCTGAAATCTGTGTGTTGGCTTTTAAATGCTTTAAAACTTTCATCCCCATGTTAAGGATTGAATTTAGGAGAACAGGATATTAGGCTGCAGAAATAGCACACAGCTGAGAAAATGGAGAACCAAGACAGTAACTGGGACGTCTGGACCCTCAAGGATTAGTGTCACCTGCTCTTATGTTGTTAAGTTGGTGTTGCATGAGTTTCCTGGAGTAATCTCAAAGGCTGTGACTGTTCCCTTTCCCTGAAGATGTCTGACCAGACTGAACTCAGGGGCATCATCCTTGTCTCTGTCTGCTTGACCAAAGTTAAGGAAAATCATCATTCTGGGAGGTTCAGCACAAGATGAATTTGCTGTGCTTATACCAGTGAAGTGCTTGCAGGGTCTCTGGGGAATAGTTCTCCTGATGTTAATTGCTCCACGCCCACAAAAGTGTGCTCAGACACAGTTCTTTACTGGCTCTCCTCTGGAGAGATTCTGACCTATATTAAAATAAAACCCCCAAAGCACAACAACTTTGTGGCAATTTTTGATCTTGAATTCAGCTAAATGCATAGCCTGGGGGGGTCCTGTCCAGGTGCAGAGTTCTCTTTTGTCCCTGGGCAGTAAAAAAGCTCATTGCCAGAGAAGATAAAATCCTTTCCCTTCAGGAAGTAAAATCCCTTCTTCAGAAGGTGCTCAGCTGCCTACTGGTAAAATGTCAAGTAGGCTTTGAATTAGAATTCTTTTTGGATATTTCCTGCTTGACTAAGAATAAAGAAGAACAAGCACTTCTGAAAGATAACTCAGGTGCACAGTTATAACTGCTTGGGTTCAGGTTGGAAAACAAGGAGAGACCCCAACTCACAGTGTAGACCTTCTGGTAGAAGGCAGTGATTTGAAAACAAACAAATAAAAAGCTTATGTGCTTTCTAACTTTAAAAGTTAGAATAGAAAGAAAAAATATTTTAAAATAATTAGGAAAAGGGAGAGGAATATCAGTTTTTCCAGAAATGTGCTGACACTCACTTTGTTCCCTTTGGTTATCAGTCCCCTCCTCTATTTCTTGCTCCCACCCTGCCCGCTCAAGGATTGCCCTCTCTGTGTGAGTCAGTGCATATGCGAGGTGTTTTGGGTGATTCCTGGCACGCTCTGATGCTGGATCATGTGGCTGGTTGCAGGTTGGCCTGGTTTACATGTTCAACCTCATCGTCGGGACAGGAGCCCTCACGATGCCAAAGGCCTTTGCGACAGCAGGGTGGCTCGTCAGCCTCATCCTCCTCATGTTCCTGGGATTTATGAGGTAGGACACGAGTGTGTGTCCCTGGGGGATTGGAGGGGGTTTCAGCTGGGTGGGGCTGTGAGGACAGCGTTGACTTTTGCTGCTTTCCTGTGCTTTGCTCCTTGAGGATTGGTCTCTGCAGTGATGTTGCCAATTTGGAGGGATGCACTTCCTGACTGCCTGCAGTATGGTGCTACATCCCATTTCCTGACTGATGGGCAAGACTTTTCCTCCAGTGCAGAGTCTTGTAGGACTTTTCTCCCAGTTTCCTTTTTTGTCCTCACTGTGGATACATTCCATGCTTGCCTCTGTCATGGATCAGTTCCCCAAACACCACTCATGTCACAGGTGACATGGGGTAATGCTTCTGCTTTGTGACTTACAGATATGATGCAGATGTGTAAGCTTTCTCTGGGCTTCTAGCAATGCTCTCACAGCTGCAAGAGTGTCAGGAAAACAAATTCCTGTATAGCCAGGCCTATCTTATCCCCTCCAGACCTTCACTACTTGAGACCTTGCAGCTGCTCTCCTGATTTTCCCCCTAGCTCACCATGAGCTCCTGCCCAGGTGCCTCCATGCTGGAGCAGCAGATGGAGCTGAAGGCTGTGGATACAGTGCTGGTGTCTGAGGAGCTATTGATAGAATTGCCATCTTCTGATGGGCTGTGAATCTCTTCTTGCTTGGTTTTAAAATAAAAATAAGAATTTTTAAAATAAAACCAAAATGCCCTCCTGCCATTTGTAAGAATGGAATTTTGAAGTCCCAGCCTTGTCAATAACCAGCTCCCTCAGCCTGAACATGCCTTTAGTTTTGAGCCAGAGCCTTTGGGATCTGTTAGGTGCTGCTAAACAGAGGAACTGTATGGTCATTACTGGCTGTAGTAATGCTTTTAGTGCCTCACCTCTGAGCTGGATGCTGTAAACTGTGGGGATTCCAGTAACTGGGAGCTTTGGAAGCAATTCCTTTTAGCTACATTAGTATAAAAGCATAAATTCAATGTATGAAGCTCAGCACGAGCAGAAAATCCTTCAAGGTCAGCAGAAGAGCACAAAGCTCCAAACCTGTGTACCAGAACTGCACTGGATTAAACTGAAAAGGTGCAGCTCAAAGGAGTACGTGCCTTGGGAGCTGCATTGCTCTGTGGCTTTTGTTCTGGTGCTTGTGACTTCCTCGTGCCCGCTGGGCACCTTCAGTGCAAGAAAAGTCTGGGCGGAAATTGCCACACAGACCTCAGCACTTTCTTTTATTCTTGCAAAACTAATCTCTCATTTGAGCTTGATAAGCGAGTCCGGCTCCTAAAGCAGTGAGAAACCACTTTAAAGCCTTAAATAAGATTGATTTGATGGGTTTTTTAAATTTATTAATATCATAGGACTGTTTTTAGCTGAGATAATGATATTCTTTCCATCAGTGGCTCTCGCTGTCTCCCTGAACAGCCTTTCCCCTGGCCTCCAGCAAAGTGTATTTGCATGCATGTGTGATCTCTCCTTCTTCTATTGCTGCTTTGCTTCTGATGCCATTTGTAAGATTATTTAAGAGACTGTAGTACCTTTGCCACAGGCCCTAATAGATGAGTTTTGGAATAGTACTGTGCTCATCCTAGGCTGTAAAAAGAGGAAGGAAACTTGCTTTCTAGCAAAGGGCAAAGTCCTTTTGCTGTCTTCAACCCACAGAAACACCAGGAAGGTGCCTTCCAAATATCTAAAGTGTCTTATTTTATCTGAAGGCGTGTTATACTTTATTGCATTTTGTGGTCTGCTTGAACACCTGAATCTCAAGAGCAGAAGGGAGCAATAAAACGAGATGAAACACTACCAAAACAGTGTGTGGGGAGCTGGCAAAAGGGTTGGTTTTGTTTGTTTTTTTGCTCCTACAAACAGATGGGAATAATTCTCCATCTCTCTTCAGTGACAGTTCTTGACTGTTATTGATGATCTCAATTGAATTCCTCTCTCTGTAGCTATATGACTACGACCTTTGTGGTGGAAGCCATGGCTGCTGCAAATGCCCAGCTGAGATGGAAGAGAATGGAAAAACGCAAGGTTTGTGTGGGGTTTAATTTTACGTTTTCTTGTGTTCTTCTATCCTGTAGGATTTGCCTGGGATTCCTCTGATTCTTTGCCATGCCTCGTTACTAACTCTAAAGAAATAAATTTCTACTGTACTTAACTTTGCCATATAAAATATGGCTGTTAGTTCCCTGTGGGGTTGCTCATTAAAGACAGGATTTTCTGCTCCTGCTTTGAAAAATCTCTTGTGCTGTTCACATTTCTTACTGATCGTGCTCTCCTTGCCCAGAAGCGCTGCTCAGTGAATGTGGAGAGGTGGCAGCCAATATATTGGTGCTATTTGGAGTGTGCTGAGGACTATAAATCCTTGCTGATCTCAGGTCATTTAACTGGGACAGGCTGGAATGTCCTTGCTGTTACTTGGGCTGTATCCCAGGGAGTGGACAGTTCTGAATTATGCCCTTCCTGTAAAGCTTACTTGTGGCTTTTCTGGATCAGAGGGAGGCGTAATTGTTTGCACTGATTTAGACCCCTGCCTGTGTTTTAGTGGGATGGAGTTAGGAGCTAGACCTGCCTGCTCTGACTAGCTGAGACTTTATATGTTTAGATTTATTTTTTTCTACCAGTTCAGCAGCGCTGCAGATCTGCCGGAAGTTTCTGACTTCCTTGTGCCACGTATCACTACAGGAGTTGGGCACTGTTGCTGTGTGCGTGACCTCAGGCTGGGACAGCAGAGCCTGTCACTCACTTCAGCCTGCTCTGCTAGTGCCCTCTTCTGCCCTCCACAGCATCCCAAAGTCTCCCTGGTGTTATCTTTGCTTGCATGTCCTGCCCTCCCTGTTTGAGACCTTCTTTTGAATGTCTGGAAGTGACCGTGACACTGGTGGTGCCGAAGCCTTTACTGTGGGTAACACATATCTCAGCAGTGGTCTGGTCTTTTCATCCAGGAGGATGATGAGGATGAAGATTCTTCCTCTGGAGTATCTGACAGTGATGTTCTCCTCCCAGATGGCTACGAGCGAGCGGAGACACGGCCTATCCTGTCAGTTCGTGAGTACCCAGTTCATGCCTTTGCTGCTCCAAGACCTTTTCTCTGCAGACAGTGTCCCAGAGAATTCCACAAGTGTGGACTCCTCTGTCCATTTCACCCTTAATTCCATGTGCTCACATCCCAAAGTCCTTAACATTTGCAAGATAAGACTCATTGAGAATTCAGTTTACCTTCTGCAGTCTGATAAAGATCTTTTCCTTCTAGGTCACTAAGATGAGAACATCTTATTTTCTAAACACTTTTAAACTAGCTTCGGTAGAGTAATTGGACCAGTGACTCTGCAGCTGTGGAGTTGTACAAACTGTCCTTCAAACTGCTGCTAGAGCTTCCCAAGTGTCCAGGTAGTTTGGCCTCTGGGTTTACTGGAGGGATTGGTTGAAACGCTTCTTTTTTCCATCGTGCAGAGAGACGTGGCTCACCCAATATCTTTGAAATCACTGAGAGGGTGGAAATGGGCCAAATGGCTTCCATGTTCTTCAATAAAGGTAAGTGATGCATATTTTCAAAAGGCCCTCCTGGACGTTATGTATATGGCTGTTGCTTAAGTTTGCAAGGTTTTTTTCAGTGTGGGTTTGCATCCTGAGTTTGTGATAATTCCACCCAAAAGTGCCATTCCGTCTCTCTGTGGACTGTGTTCATCCTCCTGTGTGATGTTTCTATGAAGTATTTATGGGCCAGGTGGGCACAGAACTAGCAAAACACTGCAGGTTATGGGCCCAGTTTCTCGAGACAGGCAAGTGTGAGTCATTGCCTTTTCTGACTGCCCTTCACCTGCCTCTGAACTGCCTCTGTCCTCTGTGATCTCCACTGTTTAAAGCAGTAAAGCCCAGCTGCAGTGTTTGCCAGTTCCATCTTGGTTGTAGCATTTGCAAATAAGACGTTCAAGCTTCCCTGAGCCCTGTATCAGTCTGAAAGAGAAAGACTTCTGGTGGGAGCTTCTGGGAATTGCCTGTGCCTGGGGAGTCATCAAGAGAGCTGCTGGGACATGAACTGCTGAAAGGGTCCCCGCTGAGCATATGACAGGCAGCTGGCTTGTGTTTCTGTTTTTAAATGCTTCTTGTATGCCAGGGAACAAACTTGTAACCGTACTGCAATACATCCCTGTCCACTGCTGTGTGCAACAGAAATGCAAATCACAATGGTAGGGATTCTGAAACCTGTAAAACAGTACAGTGAAATGCTGTGCAGAGCCAGAACATCATCAGACACCGTGGCTGTGCAGTTTTGAACCTGTCAGGCCCCATTTCTTGTGGAAAATGATGTTTTCCCTTGTTCACTGGCCACCTTGCAAAGAGGTGACGGGCTGGTTTTTTCCACTATGTTACATCAGCATTATGCCAGCGTAAGGCTGTTGCCTCTGAAGGACAGCTGGGCTTAAGGAGTGAAGATTCTATGAACTATTATTTCTTATTTTAAAGTCTAATTGGAAAAAAAACTTTTTAATTTTCATGCATGCCTCTTCTGGGCTTTTGTAGATTTAAATCACACAGGACCATCAGAATAATCCACCTTGGATCAGGCTGCCACATTTCTAGTCAGGGAAGAGAGGTGTGTCAGAAACCTCTTGTTCCTGTCTTGTCTGTAGCACTGAGTTGCTCTGACCTCAGAGAAGTTTTTCCTTGTTTGCTTTGCTACCTATAAAACACTGTGAACACTTCCCTCTCTCTTGATATTCCTCTAAGGAGTAATATTTGGAAGTGCTTTGAGGGCAATCACCATGTAGTGGGGTTTAGATGTGTTGCTGAGGACTCAGCTGTGGAGGGGTGGGGGGTCACAGGAGATGGAGTGTCCTCATAATCAAGTTCCAGGAGGCCCCTTCTTTGCATATGTTTCAAAGGGGAGCTGAAAAGGATGCCCCAAAACCAGGCAGGTGTTGGGCAAGTGCCTTCTGGACCTCTCTGGTGCTCAGACACTAGAGGGTGCTGGGAATACGTGTCCTCTCTCTGCCAGCACCAATGTAGCTTCCGAGCAAAGTGAAATAAACTGCTTAGTACTCTTAAATCTTAATCCCTCTTCTTAATGTTGCTTTAGCCACAGTTATCTGATTTCTGTGTTAGGGATCCTCCCCGGGGTCTACTGAGCCCGTCGCAAAGGGATGAATCTGTCTGCAGGAAGGCCACTGGAACAGCTGCAGACTTAACTTGTGACTTCCAGATGGGAAGAGTCTGGGGCAGCTGTAACTCATTTGCTGCTTTCCTTTCCTCTGAGCTCAGCAATGAGGCTTCATCCCTGTCGCTGAGTCCTGGTTCAGAGACACCCTCTGGTCTGGGAGCGGCTGCAGAGACAGACAAGTGAAGTACCTCCCTCTGCAGATCCGTGCTGAGGTGCTCCCTCATGATGGCTGCGCACAAGGGCCTTCAGTAAGGGCTCAGTGACCAGTGTCTGCTGCCTTGTGCTGAGAAACTGGGCCACACTGGGGAATTCTCAGCTCCAAGCACCAACCCGTGTGGTTTCACAGCTCACAAATGTCTGGGTGGGTGTTTACTCACGATATACGAAGCGTGGATCCAAACCCAGGGTGTCTCAGGGCTTTACAGCCTTCAGAGGGAAGGCTGGTGAAAGCTGTGCGATAGACCTCAAAGCCTCTGATTTCTAGTGAGTTCTCTGCTCCTTTCCCTTGACTGATTTTTATTTTCAGCAATCTGACAGGAGTTGAATCTGCAGTCCTAGGAGGTAAGCTGGGGATAAATCTCAATTTCAGACTGTCTGTTTTCTTAAAGGGAGCTGACTTAGGTTTAGGCTGTGAAGAGCCTGTGTGCTCTTTCGAAAGAGCTGGCTCTGAAGAACTGCTCTGTTTCTTGTTTTAATTTTTTTATTTTTTAATATGCAGTGTTGGGTGCTTTCTTCTGGGACCAAGTAGTCATTTATTGCAGTAATGGATTGCAGGCATATCTATCATACTGTTTCCTCACAGGAAGTCATTGATTTTTTTTTTCTCCCTGTTTTGTGCCCAGTAATGAAAGTATTGATTAGGGAGGGTCAGCAGCAGTTTATAAAAGAACTGATGGTAAAGTCTTCCTGTCTTCAAGAAGATGAGTTTGGGAGAGGACTCTCACCTGGACTTCCCACAGACAGGGAAGTCTGCACTGAAACAGGGATACAGTGTGTGCTGTTGGTACTGGCTGGTGCTGCTGTGGTTGTGTCAGCCTTATTTTGTGTGGGGAGGGCGGCTGAGGCCTGAGACCAGTGGAGATCCCAAAACAGAATCTATCTTAGTCTGTAGTACTAAGCTTAGTGTGTCTGCAGTTTCTGTCCTATTTCAGATATTTTGTTATAACCTTCAACCCTTTTTAATGGGAATTTGGAGAAGACTGGTAGGTAGTTTGTTGCTGTCTCCAGAACAGTACAGAGACTCCTTAACTGTGAAGCCATCTTCAATCTTTCACAGAGCCAGAAAACAAGGGGGAAACTTGTATGGAATGATCTGACAATTTCTGTAATATCTCCATTTGTCTCTTTAGACAAACAGGAACAAGTCTAGAGCACTGACTTAGTGCTGCTGTACAGAAGCAGGGAAGTTTTCTTGCTGCTTTCCTGATACAGCCCCTTTTTAGGAATGTTTTATGCTAAGTAGGCTCAGCATATTGATTAATTCATTTAAATGAAGGAAAATGTTTCCTAACATCCTGAGGTCCAGGGGCAGTATGATGGCAAAACATGAGAAAACTTTGGGGCATCTAAGCTGTAGAAATATGAGTCCACATTCCTGCAGCAGTGTTGTCCTTGTTGGTAGTTGTCACAGCTGTAAGTGTGAGGTGAGGCTTGCACAGGTGAATTGATTTGCTCAAGCTGCATTAGGATTAAGCATCAGCTGGCATCATGCAACTTGAAAGTATGGGCAGGTTCCTTGAGCTGTTTTCCTTTGGTGTCAACTTCCTAAATGAAACAAATGTGAGGGTTTTTTTCTGTAACTCACCTGTCTCTGAACTAAAATGTCTTCCAATTTTTTTTCCTTGGGGAGATTTATACAGACTTGCTTGGAAGAAGAGAATCCTGTGGTCTCATCAAGCGTTTCTTTATCCCTGCAGATTTTAGCCCTCCTTGTTGTGCCCCAGTAAGGCTGTTCTGTGCACCCAATTAATTTGTGCAAGACTTTTTTAATCTGCTAGGTGAAGGCAGGGCAAGCTTTTTCTTTTTTTTAAGAAAAAAAAAATTCAAAAAATCAGTAGGGGCATGAACAGCGTATGTGGTGGCAGAAGGGTAAGAGGGCTGAGATACAGACTTTTAAAGCTTCGCAGAATTGTACCTTGGCTCAAGTTGCCAGTGGTAGGGAATCTTCCAAAGCAGCTCCGTTTCAGCCCTGTGGAGTCTGAGCTCTGCAGGGCCAAGTCCCTAATGTGAAGGTCTTGCAGGTTTGCAAGCAGAGGGTTTGGAATCAGCAGAGACTAAAAGCATCTTCTCTCTGCATTTCACTGTTTGTCAGACTGTGCTCACACCGAGTCTGAGAGCATCAGCTGGATGTTTGCCTGTGGCTGTTCCAAGCTGACAGCTTTGTCTGGCAGGTGACTTATGTGAGACCTGTTGGTCTTGACTGCAGGATGGGCTTGAACTAGAGGGTTTAGTGTCAGTGCCAGGTATTGAAGGAAGCAGAGTGGAGCTCTGAGGCCCCCCATGCCCCATCAGATCCTGTGCTGTGGTAAGTTCCCTGAGCCTGGGTGGAGTTTGCTGCAGAAGGAAGGAAACTATGGAGGCAAATGATGATTTTTAAGATCTTAAAAATTTTGTATATTTGAATTGCAGAGTACAAGAGTTTCTATGTACTCTGCAGTATGTGGATAATATTTCCTTTTTCTGCAGTGGGTGTCAACCTCTTCTATTTCTGCATAATTATCTACCTCTATGGAGATCTGGCAATCTACGCAGCAGCAGTACCAGTCTCTCTCATGCAGGTGACCTGGTAAGTGTGCTTATTGCTGAGGGGTTGGATGCTAACAGGGAAGAGGGCAGGCTTTGGATTTGATGAGGTTATAAACCTCACTAGGATCAGCTCTACTTTCTGAAGAGTGAAGTGGAGAAATGACTCAAATACAGCTCATCTCTTGAGGGTGGGAAGGTGAGGTTGCTCTTTATTCCCCACCCGAGTGCCTGCTGCCTGCCTGCAAAGTAGCTGACCTGATTCCAGAGCCCTCAGGTGGGAAGCACTTCCAGCTTCAGCACTTGTAGACATGGGACTTGTTGCTCAAAAGTTTGATTGCAATACTCTGCAATATTTTAGCTTCTCTGTCTCTTTGGGTGAGGGCTGAGAGGTGTGATACTTATTAAGTCAGAGACCAGAGAGTGATGATGTTATGTGGACTTCGCACTGGACTGAGAGTGATGCCTTTCTCAAAGAAACAGATAATGAAAAAGAGTGGTTTGATCAAATCTGGGATGGGCTGGATTTGGACTTGTGTCTTGGAAATGGAAAACCTCAGTGATTGCTATATGACCTAAACTTGCCAGCTTGATGACTGAATGACCAGTCTTGCAAATAACTGCAGGTAATTCGAGAATTTGCTTTTAAATGCCCAGTACTCAGTGACTTGCTCTGTTATACAGTCCAGAAAGCAGAATGAGGGAGGGTGTTCAGGGAGGGAGGGGAGAAATGGCCTCTGCTCATTCTTCCTTCTTGAATGCAGGAGAGGGGAAGACATCTGCTAGGAGTTAATTACTGTCTTTTGTTCTCCCTCCTTTCCCAGCAGTGTCACTGGCAACCATTCTTGTAGTGTTGGAGATGGCACAAAGTACAACGACACAGACAAGTGCTGGGGGCCAATTCGGCGAATTGATGCTTACAGGCTGTACCTGGTGAGTTTCTGGAACTGGGATGATCATTGTTGCCACTTAAACTTTGCTTCTAGTTATAAAGATTTTTTTTTTTCCTGTAGAGAGGATGTAGTTCAAGTGAACAACACGGTGTGAAGCTTTTGGTTCAATCTGGCCCTTTTGGCCATATACCTCCTTCCTGGTTTTGGTGACATGGCTGTTGTGTGAACTTGTTGGCCATCAGAATGATCCTTATGGTTTTGAGTTTGAGTTCTGTCCGTCTTGTTTTGTAGTTTTGTATTGCTTAAGCAGGTGAGATGTTCTTGCCAAAGGCTGGGTTTTTCTTCAGTGGGTTTTTCAGTGGCTGGCTAAGTAATATTCACTTGGGGGTAATTGTTGTCAAGATACTGAAGTATATTAAGCTCACTCGACTGCTTTAGAATATAAAATATCCTGAGTTGGAAGGGACCCACAAGGATCATTGAGTCCATTCTTCATGTGAATAAAATTGTTAATGCTGCAGGAGAATCTGCTGTTTGAAAGATGATGGAAACAGCCAGCTTAGACAACATCCAGTGCTATATGCTGCTTTAGTAATAGCTTTGTCTAGTTCAGGATTGTCTATTGCATCTATTACTGTGCTGGGGTTCTGCTGTGAAACCAGGGTTTTTTCCCAAAGGATGATGAACATGGGTTTTCTAGAGCTTGGGGAGTGTTGAGTGCTCCTACCTGGAGACATGTTGGTAGGGCAAAAGGAAAAGAGGATGGAATGCCAGTACTGGATAGTGTGGCTTCTGTTAAGGGTCTTGGTGAGAATTTCAAGAAAAAGGAGTGCGAGGAGTGAGGGTGGCTGTGTGTGCACAGAGAAATCCAGAGGTAAAGACTATTTGAGGCAATTTTGCAGTTAGTACATTTTGGACGTGCAGTGGATCACATCCCTGAGTACACTTGTTCCAGCATTATTGCAAAAGTAAGAGCTGGGCCTCGGAAATATAAGTGAATGTCAAAGTCTACTTAATAATTTAAGAGAAATATTATTGCTTTATTAAATTGTGTCTTGGTCTGTTTCTTTAAAACTTCCAGAAGATTGAAGATTTCCTTCCTGAATTTCAATAACTCTCCCTGACCCAGCAGAAGGAGCTAGTCAGAAAAGGCAGACATGCATTAATTACTGCCTGCATCTCTCGGATATTATGTCTATAATTCATGAAGATAATTGTTGTTAGGACTTGCAAAATTAAAAAAATTAAGACTGTGTAAGCATTAGACTTGCAGTCTGTGTACATAACTCTCAGAGGAGCTTTTCCCTCTGCTTGTCTTGTGGATTTGGAGAATAAATTTCTGCAAAGTCTTGGCTAGTGTTAATCCTTTCCTGCTCAGCGACTGGGATGAGGAGGTTTCAGTGCTTTTTCTCTGCTCCCCCTTAGAAGGAGGGAGGAGTTGTTTGTGGGAGAACAGACCAGTCTGTAGTGGGTTACTGCTGGGGGGCAATTCTCACCATAACTATTTTCAGGGGACTGCTGGATGTCAGCATTACCTTCAAGTGGCTTTCTCTTAAGGTCTCTAATGCTTCTTACTGGGTGAGTGTGGGAGTAAACTGGGACTTGTTCTACCTCCAGTTCTGCTAGTCCCACTCCCTGCTTGACCTGTGTGCTTTCATGCTCCAGAAAACAGAGATGACGGTGACTTCTCTAGGGAGAGGTAAGAGATGTAACCATATATAAAGCATTCAGACCACAGTACTGACCACGTCCTTGAGTTTGGGCTGCCTCTCAAGTGGCTGCGATGGGTCATATTTTTCCCCCTCTATCCTGGTTTATATTTTCCCCACTGTCCTGTTTGCAATGTGGACAACTAATGATCAGTTGAGCTCTTGAACTTTCTAAGAGAAACCTGGGCATGGGAGAGCAGGGGGAGGAAGTCACTTCAAGCAAAAAATTCAGTAGTAAACCATTGTAATTATCTCTACATATTTAGTCCAAGCTTGTCGTGTATAGAAGTAGAGTTTTGACCATGCAAGAAAAGCTGAAACGTGCTTATCTGAAGAAGAAAAGGCAACATGACAGGAGGGGTGAAATGCATCAGGAGCACAGCTATTCTCTTGGTCCCAGGGGATCATACCCACAGAGAACTTGCTCTGTTGTCTTAACTTTCTTTTTTGAATTCTTGCTTGATGGAATAATTTGGGTTCCACGTTTCAGTGGACAAACAAGGTCTCTTTTTGCAGACTAAGTTCCCCTGTGGCAAGGGGACAGATGGACACTGTGATCCCAAAAGAAAACAGCTGAGTTTTTGGATCAGCCCTTTTGTCCTAGATGTCTGCCTCTAGTTTTCTTACCTCGTCCTAATACTGTATTTAGGTTAAAATGACTTTTAGGAGAAAGATGGGTGGATGTAACTGGAACCTCTTGCCCGTTCCAGTGAAGCAGTTCTCTGAATATGTAGTGTTATATTTCATACTCCGTGCATGACCCCACACAAAGCCTATTTTGGACTACCAGGAGAAATAATCTATTTGAGGTTTTCTGGGCAAATGGTGCCAATGGGAGCTGTCTTGTGCCAAGTCCCACCAGTCTGCCAAAGACCTGTGCTGCCTTCCTCCTGTCGACTCTTTCTCTCCCAACACTGTGTCTTCTTTTCAACAAAAATAATTTCAAACATTTACTCTTCAAGCTGGGGATGGAGAGAGGAATAATGACTGACGTAAAAATCCTTTTTCACGCCTTATTGTCCAAAAAGGCCTCTGGAAGCTGTCTCTGCTCTGATTACTGTGAATGGAAGCTGAAAACTATGTACATAATGAGAATATTTAGACAGATTAAATTCTTCTCTTGAGACTTCCTTGTCTGTGCAGCATCTTTATTGCTGCTCCAGGATTTCACACCTAAGTGTGACTGCAGAGTCTTCAGAGACCACTAGGCCCCTATTAACCTTTGTCTGAACAAATGGTTGTCTCGCTTCTTGTTTATAAATTGCTTTGAAAAATAAAGGTTTGCAAAACAAATAAGTGAAGGCAAGTGCAGGAAATATGTAAATAGACTTCTTCTCCTGTCCCATCACTTGCTGCTAGTATTTGCCTCCTTTTTGGGAGGTTTACAGGGTGAGCCTTCCCATGCTGTTCCATGCCTGCGAGGGCAAGACCCCACAGGGCAAATGGGCTGGAAGGAAGGCATGTGTTGGGCAGCCCAGTGACCTTGTTGAAGGCAAGCACTGATCACAGTTAGAGCAGATCGATGGCTTTCTATCTTTGCTTCAGATCCATCACCACCCTGTCATGTCCTCGACAGCTGGAGTGACTCCCAAGTCCCTTGGCTGTCTCTGGCAATGCTGAGGACGGGGTTGTGTTCTTTCCCTGCTGAATTCACACTTCAGTGCAGTCACTTTATCATGCTTTCTGTAAGGTCCACGGGGCCTCTGCTGTGGAGGCTGTGGGGCAGGGGCAGTGGATTTCAGTTTCAGATCTTTCCTCATAATACTTTCTTGTCTGTCTGTTCCAGTGATGTAGAAATGTGACATGCTAGCCTCTGTTTCTAGAAAGCAGATACTGAAATAAATAAGAGATTAAATCCCGGGGATCAGCAGCCATTCAGAGTGTCTGATCCAAACTGCTCTCATGACCTGGCAAATGACGCTTCTCTTCTGCACCAGGGCAGCTGTTGAAGTTAAAACCTCTCTTCTCTTCATCCCTCCTCTTCTGGCCATCTGGGACATGGTGCCTTCCCATGATGGAAAGGAAATGGCTTAAATTCTCAAGGGGAGCCGTATGCCTTTGAGAAGAGGCACTGGCACAGGTACTCCTGGTAGCCTGGCTCGGTAGCGCGTCAAAGCTCCCAGGTGCATCTGTTCTGTCTGAGTCTCTGTTGGTTTTTTTAGCTGATTGGGAAAGGGACGCGGCATCCGCTTGTGCCGGTTCACAGATGCTGCAGTATCGCAGGCAGCCCAGCGGGTGCAGGCCGGGCGAGGATGGGAGTGCAGATGGTTTAATGGAGATTATCCCAGTTGGAAACGTGCTTGTGCAGTGAATAAAATGAGCGGGCTCGCAGGCGCTCACCATCCCTCTTCAGGAGGGGACAATGTCACCCCGGCCCGACACTCTGATCAGTGACCAGAGCGGGGCTGGGCTGCAGCTGCGGGAGGCTGTGCAGGGGGGTGAGGAGGAGGTAGTCTGAGGACACACGTACAATTGCTCAGTGCCAGCAGAACTTAATCGGCAAATGTGAGAGCTGTGCTGATAAGTGTTGATGTAGATCCCGTCCGCCGCGGTGCGGTGCTGCCTTCCCGGCCCGCTCCGGCTCTGGGCTGGAGCGCCGTGCTTTGTGCTGCCGGTGTACGTGCTCTGCTTCCCTCCTCAGCGTTTCTCCTTCCCAGCTGTGCCTTCACCCTGCTCTGGGTAAAGGTAGCTCTGATTTTTGTTGTCAAACCGGATCTTTCCAGATGTGTTTACCTGCACTAGGGCAGTTTTATTGGCTTGTTCAGCGTGCAGTGCTTTTGTGGCCTGTCTGTGGTTCCCTTCTGGCCTCTGTAGCTTTTTTTTTTGTGGGTTTTTTTGCTTTATATTTTGCCTCCTAGCAGTGCTATGAGAGGAGCCCTCATGGCAGTACTTGAACATCCATGCTTGATCTAAGCTGTCTCTTGCCAAATGGGAGCTGGAGCAACAGAGCTGGAGCAGTGCTGCGAGCAGAGTGCTGCTTCCAAGGGCACCTGGGTTTGCTCCGCTGTTCCCTTTGCAGCAAGTGCTTTTCCTCTGCCCTGCCTTCCTCAGCTGTGCCCTGCAGCAGCATCCGGTAATAAATGGGTCACAGCTGCTATCTCCTGGATATTTATTCTTACAGGTCTCAGTGTCTAGAGACCTTGAGAACCAGTGGTGGGGAAGGAAGCTGCCTCACTGGCTGGAGCTGGAGCAGGGAGGGCTGAGTTCGCAGCACTTCAATGAAAAAGGCTTGGGGTGTTTGTCCTGGGCTCCCAGAGTGAGCCAATAAAAAGGAAGAAAAGCTGATGGAAGTTTATCCTGATGGTGTGAAGCCATCACCTTGTTTAAATAA